ATCAAATTTCACAGTTCCCAGTAAAATATTAAAAAGCACCAGAAAACTTGGCAATATTATCCAAAATGTGCTTATTTTTTAAGCTGCCTACTAGGGACTTTTTTAAGCTTACACAAACAGATAACCCATTATTGTAATATTAATGCAGAGTTTAATAAAATACTCTTACAAAAATTAATATTTTTTATATGTTTTTTGGATATTATATAGCAATGAAGGGTATAAAAATATTCATACTATTCCAATGCTTTTAACTGAACTTTTGATCGTCCTGACAAACCTGTCCCCTTCTACACCAATGATTTAATGTATATGGCATTTCAATTAATTATAATAAGCCTGTTGGTATAAGTAGTAGGTTGGTAGACAGCAACCACCCAGGGAGGTACTACCGTCCTGCCAAGTGAGTGTAAAATGAAAGCCTGTAATTGTTTTACATGATGGTAGGATTGCTGGTGTCTTTTGTCTGTCTCATAAATATGCAAGATTACAGGTATGTCTTGCTACTTCTACTTACACTTAGGTCACACTACACATACACGTACATGTTTATTTATACACACTCATCTGAGTTTTCTTTGATTTTATCTTAATAGTTCTTCTTCTTATTACTTTTCCTTTTATATCCATGGGGAAGTGGAATAAAAATCTTTCCTCCGAAAGCCATGTGTGTTGTAAAAGTCAACTAGACTGCTGGGAACAATGGGCTAGTAACCCCTTTTCCTGTAATGATTACTAAAAAGAATAAGAAGAAAATTGTCAAAGTGGGAGGTCTGAATGTGCATGGATGTTGTGCGAATGATAAGAAAGAGATGATTGTGGATGTTATGAATGAGAAGAAGCTGGATGTCCTGGCTTTAAGTGAAACAAAGCAGAAGGGGGTGGGAGAGTTTCAGTGGAGAAAAATAAATGGAATTAGGTCAGGGGTTTCAAATAGATTTAGAGCTAAAGAGGGAATAACAATAATGTTGAAGGATAAGCTATGGCAGGAGAAGAGTAGAAATGCATTAATTCAAGGATAATGTGGAGTAAAATAAAGGTTGGATGTGAAAAGTGGGTTACAGTAAGCGTATATGCACCTGAAGAAGAGAGAAGTGTTGGGGAGAGAGAGAGATTTTGGGAAATGTTGAGTGAATGCATGGGGAGTTTTGAACCAAGTACTTGTGGTTGGGGATTTCAGCTAAAGTGGGTAAAAATGTTGAGGAGGGAGTAGTAGGTAAATTTGGGGTGCCAGGGGTAAATGAAAATGGGGAGCCTTTAATTGAGCTATGTGTAGAAAGAGGTTTGATAATAAGTAATACATATTTTATGAAAAAGAGGATAAATAAATATATAAGGTATGATATAGCACGTAATAAAAGTAGTTTGTTAGATTATGTATTGGTGGATAAAAGGTTGATGGGTAGGCTTCAGGATGTACATGTTTATAGAGGGGCAACTGATATATCGGATCATTATTTAGTTATAGCTACAGTTAGAGTAAGAGGTAGATGCGACAAGAGGAAAATGGCAACAAGTAAGAGAGAGGTGAAAGTGTATAAACTAAGGGAGGAGGAAGCTTGGGTGAGATATAAGCAACTATTGGCAGAAAGGTGGGCTAGTGCAAGTATGAGTAGTGGGGGAGAAGGGGGGGGAGTTGAAGAGGATTGGAATAGTTTGCAGTATTAGAATGTGGGGCAGAAGTTTGTGGTTATAGGAGGGTGGGTGCGGGAGGAAAGAGGAGTGATTGGTGGAATGATGAAGTAAAGGGTGTGATAAAAGAGAAAAAGGTAGCTTATAAGAGGTTTTTACAAAGCAGAGGTGTTATAAGAAGAGCAGAGTATATGGGGAGTAAAATAAAGGTGAAGAGAGTGGTGAGAGAGTGCAAGAGGAGAGCAGATGAGAGTGGGAGAGGCACTGTCACGAAATTTTAATGAAAATAAGAAAAAAATCTGAAGTGAGTTAAACAAGTTAAGAAAGTTTAGGGAACGAATAGATATGTCAGTTAAAAACAGAGTAGGGGAGTCAGTAGATGGGGAGATGGAGGTACTGGGTAGATGGCGAGAATATTTTGAGAAACTTTTAAATGTCGATGAAGAAAGGGATGCGGTAATTTCGTGCATTGGCCAGGAAGTATACCATCTTTTAAGAGTGAAGAAGAGCAGGATGTGAGTGTGGGGGATGTGCACGAGGCAATATCTAGAATGAAAGGAGTAAAGCAGCTGGAACTGCCGAGATCATGACAGAAATGTTAAAAGCAGAGGGGGATATAGTGTTAGAGTGGTTGGTATTTTTGTTTAATAAATGTATGAATAAATAAATGTATGAATGTATGAAGGAAAGCATATAAATCTATAGGGGAAGGAAAGAGGGGTAGGGGTCGTCCTCGAAAGGGTTGGAAAGAGGGGGTAAAGGAGGTTTTGTGGGCGAGGGGCTTGGACTTCCAGCAAGCGTGCATGAGCGTGTTAGATAGGAGTGAATGGAGACGAATGATACTTGGGACCTGACGATCTGTTGGAGTGTGAGCAGGGTAATATTTAGTGAAGGGATTCAGGGAAACCGGTTATTTTAATATAGTCGGAATTGAGTCCTGGAAATGGGAAGTACAATGCCTGCACTTTAAAGGAGGGGTTTGGGATATTGGCAGTTTGGAGGGATATGTTGTGTATCTTTATACGTATATGCTTCTAAACTGTTGTATTCTGAGCACCTCTGCAAAAGCAGTGATAATGTGTGAGTGTGGTGAAAGTGTTGAATGATGATGAAGGTATTTTCTTTTTGGGGATTTTCTTTCTTTTTTGGGTCACCCTGCCTCGGTGGGAGACGACCGACTTGTTGGAAAAAAAAAAAAATGTATGAAAGAGGGGAAGGTACGTAGGGATTGGCAGAGAGCATGTATAGTTCCTTCATATAAAGAGAAGAGAGACAAAAGAGATTGTATAAATTATAGAGGAATTAGTTTACTGAGTATACCAGGAAAAGTGTACGGTAGGGTTATTATTGAAAGAATTAGAGGTAAGAGAGAATGTAGGATTATGGATGAGAAAGGAGGTTTCAGAGCGGGTAGGGGATGTGTAGATCAAGTGTTTACATTGAAGCATATATGTGAACAGTATTTAGATAAAGGTAAGGAACTTTTCATTGCATTTATGGATTTAGAAAAGACATATGATAGAGAGGATAGGGGAGCAATGTGGCAGATGATGGAAGTATATGGAATAGGTAGTAAGTTACTAAATGCTGTAGAGAGTTTTTATGAGGATAGTGAGGCTCAGGTTAGGGTGTGTAGAAGAGAGGGAGACTACTTCCCAGTAAAAGTAGGTCTTGGACAGAGATGTGTAATGTCACCATGGTTGTTTAATATATTTATAGATGGGGTTGTAAAAGAAGTAAATGCTAGAGTGTTCAGGAGAGGGGTGGGAATAAATTATGGGGAATCAAATACAAAATGGGAATTGACGCAGTTGCTTTTTGCTGATGATACTGTGCTTATGAGAGATTCTAAAGTAAAACTGCAAAGGTTAGTGAATGAGTTTGGGAGTGTGTGTAAAGGTAGAAAGATGAAAGTGAACACAGAAAAGACTAAGGTGATGAGGGTATCAAATGATTTAGATAAAGAAAAATTGGATATCAAATAGGAGAGGAGGAGTATGGAAGAAGTGAATGTTTTCAGATATTTGAGAGTCGACGTGTCAGCAGATGGATTTATGAAGAATGAGGTTAGTCATAGAATTAATGAATGAAAAAAGGTGAGCGGTGCGTTGAGGTATATGTGGAGACAAAAAACGTTATCTATGGAAGCAAAGAAGGGAATGTATGAAAGTACAGTGGTACCAACACTCTTATATGGGTGTGAAGCTTAGGTTGTAAATGCTGCAGCGAGGAGGCGGCTGCAGGCAGTGGAGATGTCCTGTCAACGGGCAATGTGTGGTGTAAATATTATGCAGAAAATTTGGAGTGTGGAAATTAGAAGGTGTGGAGTTAATAAAAGTATTAGTCAGAGGGCTGAAGAGGGATTGTTGAGGAGGTTCGGTCATTTAGAGAGAATGGATCAAAGTAGAATGACATTGAGAGCATATAAATCTGTAGGGAAAGGAAGGCGAGGTAGAGGTCATCCTCGAAAAGGTTGGAGGGAGGGGGTAAAGGAAGTTTTGTGGGCGAAGGGCTGGACTTCCAGCAAGCGTGAATGAGCATGTTAGATAGAAGTGAATGGAGACGAATGGTATTTGGGACCTGACAAGCTGTTGGAGTGTGAGCAGGGTAATATTTAGTGAAGAATTCAGGGAAACTGGTTATTTTTGTATAGCTGGACTTGAGTCCTGGAAATGGGAAGTACAATGCCTGCACTTTAAAGGAGGGGTTTGGAATATTGGCAGTTTGGAGGGATATGTTGTGTATCTTTATATGTATATGCTTCTAAACTGTTGTTTTCTGAGCACCTCTGCAAAAACAGTGATATGTGTGAGTGAGGTGAAAGTGTTGAACAATGATGAAAGTATTTTCTTTTTGGAGATTTTCTTTCTTTTTGGGTCACCCTGCCTCGGTGGGAGATGGCCGACTTGTTAAAAAAAAAAAAAAAATTAGCAATCATGTCTAGAATTTTTTGCAAATGTTTTCATTAACATTGTGCTATAAATCTACAAAAATTTGAGTATTGACACAAATGCGACTGGTTCATGGATAAGTTTGGATACGACTGTTGTATATTAATCAGGATGGATTCAACTTCATCCTTTCATGAAATGGAGAACTTTTTGAAACAAATAATCTTATTTTATGGTCTAATATCATATTCTTAGCAATAATTTTTTTCCTATAATGTATATGTCTGAAAATGAAAATAATAATGCATGCACTAAGTTAACAATAGTGAAGAGGAGGGGCCAGGAGCTGTGACTTGACCCCTGCAACCACAACTAGGTGAGTACTCATATCACTTACTTATAAATAAGGTATAAAACCACTTGTTTTACTTATATAAATAACAAATACTACAGTACTACCTATCTACAATCTTGTACCTTTGGTGAATGATGTGGGTCCATAAGCTGGTGTGCAGGACGAATTCTCAACTTGGGCATTTTTAAAGGTGGCTTGTTTTGTGTAGATGCTTCTCTCAGTATTAACTGGATGGAGTCTTGAAGTGAAGCTCCTGAATTCCCTTCAGTAGTGTTATTGCTATCCAATGAGCTTTCTGCTTCTTGAGTATGGTCCAAAGGGGATGCTTCATCCTTATCATTTACGTCATCATCCTCACATATAACTAAATTATCCGAGTCACTATCTTCCTGGATATTACTTGTACATGTATCACCTGCTGTTGGATATTGCTGTTGCTCTTGGTCCTTTTCTTGATCTTGTTGCTTCTCTTGGTCCTTTTCTTGATCTTGTTGCTGCTCTTGGTCCTTTTTTTGATCTTGTTGCTGCTCTGGGTCCTTTTCTTGATCTTGTTGCTGTTTTTGGTCCTTTTCTTGATTTTGTTGCTGCTCTAGATCATTTTTTTTATCTTGCTGCTGTTTTTTCATGACAAACTTTGTCTTTTTAGCATCTTCCTCAAGCTTGGCTGAAAGTTTTCTGATTGTATCTTGAAGAAAACCTTTACCTGTAGCTATTATTTCATCATCAAAAACATCAGTATCAAGAGCACTCATCGTAGACTCACTATCACTTCCAGCTGAGTCAATGTCTTCACTTACTATAATCTTCTGTACATCATCATCATTGCAATTCTCTCCACTGTTAGACTCCTTCTCTGGAACTGATGTTTGCTCATTTTCTGCATCATTTTGGGGTTCATCTGTTTTTTGTTTGTCAACTGTATTTTTATCTTGAGCTTTTCCCTCATTCTCTTTTAAAACATCACCAGTGTCCCCTGAAATTGGCAAAAGAGAGCTAATTGATGATGACTCTGCCTTTGTAGAAATTTTTATACATAATTCTCCTTCATCTTCCTGAGTATCCTCGTCTAATTTTTTGCTAATAGAATCTAACAAAGACATTCTTTTTTGAGCTTCTTGAGCAGACATCGTTGTGTGAATATTTATTGATATTCTATCTACAAGCTGCTTGGCTTTTTCCTCTACTTCTCCTTTTTCATCAAATTCTTCATCTCCAACAAAAACCTCAAGATCTGGACCCTTTTTTCCTCGCCTTTTTTTTTTCCCCTTGTATTTTGGACGAGGAATAGGGGTACTTTCTGAGTCACCAGAAGATTTCCTCAGCTCTGAATGCAAAACAATATGCCTACTCATGTTAGACTTATGAATTTCCGCTTTTCCTCCATGACGGTGTTTTACATGCTCCTCAGCAGCGCCTAAACCAATCCTAACAAACATGCATACTTTACAAACATGGATATACAGCCAACCATCTTCTTCAATCATTCCTAATATTAAAAACTTCTCTGGTTGGGTGCGATGACACTCTGTATGATGTGACTGTAGACGTGCCAATTTGTAAGTGCGATGACCACAGAGTTCACACCTGTAGCGATATTCCCCAGTGTGACTAGAAACATGGTTGTAAAAGTTTTCTTTTTTTTCAGACATGTAGTTGCAAAGACGACAATGATAAACACTTGAAGCTGCATCAGGAGAATGCTCAAGGACATGATAAATCAAGTCAAAACGACTGTTAGATATATAGTCACAATCTTTACAGGTTACACTTTTCTCAAAATTCATATTAGTTGGAATCCAGCTCAAATCCAGTAATTTTTTTACATCCTTACTTGCTTCTTTAGCAGGACCAACATGATCTTTAATAACAGGCGGAAAGTCTTCTTTTTTGAATTCACATGGCAATTCTCTCTCAGTGTGAAAGTTGACCAAGTGACTAGCCATGTGTCGACCAAAATAGTCACACATATCACACTGAAACAAATCCACCACCCCTCCATCATCCCACTCAACAACTTCTGCTGTTAGTGGCTCCACTACGGAGCCTCGAGTCACTCGCCGACACTCAACTGATGGAACAGACCCAACTGATTTACTTCTCTTTCCTTTCTTGGAAACCTGAGACTCTGGAGATTTGAGATCATGACCTTCACTAGAAACAACTGATGCATCATCTACAAAACTACTGGTACTAACTTTCCCCACACTAGCTGCATCATCACCATCATCATCTTCATTGCTAATTATGATACCACTATTTTCATCCGTTTTTGTTTCCCATTCAGTATTTTTAATATTAGTAATTGTCTCAGTTGTTTTACCACTTTCACAAACAGTAGTACTTTCCTCACTATGATTATCTTGAATTACTGAAACCTCATTTTGCTCATCCCTCATCTTACTATTATCTTCCAAAGCCTGCAACTCTCTTCTGGGTTTATCTCCTGCATCACATGGAGATATACTCTTAGTATGAATGGTTTGCATATCTAAGGACCACTGCATATTTACAGAATTGTCTGTAGCTGGTAGTGCAGATCTTTGTTCTTTAATGCACTTATCTATTTTTGTGTGCCGTCCATCCTCAGAATCAAGAGTGCTTTGCTGGTCAGGAGTTGAAGATGTTGGACTTGCAGACACCATAGCATCATTCATTTTTTCTGTGTTTAGATCTGTCAATTTCTCAGATATGGTTTCCATTGCCATTACTAAAGTCTCTCTAGAATCAGAATCAGATTCTTTAGAAGCAATATTAATCTCAGCATAATCTTGACTTTCTCCATACTTGGTAAAATGGCCATCATTTTCATTCTCGTTTCCTTTATTAGCTTTTGAAATCTTTTCAGTAACAGCAGCATCAACTTTGCATTTAACTTCTCCACTTTCAATTACCATGTCAAACATTTCGTCCAAAACTTTGTCTTCCTTCATCTTTGCATGAGTAGCTTCATCTGAAGAAAATCGTTCTTCCATTACTTGCAACTTTCGTGGTAACCAGTTATCACCTAAATCACTTTTTGACGAAACATCACTCACCTGAAGGCTTGCATGAGGTGGACTCAAGACACTGGCAAGGGCAGATGCATTTGGCAAGACATTACAAATTGTAGGGTCCACATCTAACAAACTTGGAGTAATTTGAGTAAGGTCAGGCATTTCATCAGAAAGAGCATCATTTTCAAAAACATCAAACTGATGAGTATTTTCTCCTTCACTTTTAGAGGAAGACACTTGAACATCCAAGCGTAACTTTTTTCTATCGGTTTCTCCATTTGGTGATATCAAACCACGCTTTGTAACTTCACCTTTTTGCATTTCTTCAGGGCTCTTACTAATGCTGGCAGCGTTATTAGCTATATTCTCAATTTGATTTAAATCATCATTAGATAAAACTTTCTTTACTTTCTTTCTCTGATGTACATTCATGACATTTGCAACATGACATATTTTTCTCTTCTTACCTTTCTTTGATGTAGGGGAACCAATGATTACTTCCCTTTTCAGAACACGGTTAAGCTTTGTATTAAGTGGAAGGAACATTTCATCACTTGAGTCACTATCTTTAGTATGATCCCAGTCTTTTTCATTTGTTTCAATGACAGCAATTACATTCTGCTTAGAAGTTTTAGTAACCTTACGCAAAGTACTGACTTTAGAAAGTGGCACAGCATTCTCAACTGGAGTTTCTACAATTTTCTTAACATCTTCTGACGGTGGTAACAACTCTGAAGTTTTCCGCTTTCCACCTCTCTTTTTAAGCTTATCATCATCACTTAATGTGATCACAAACTTATGAGGAACAGGGATCAGCACTTTAAGCTTCTTCTTCTCAGGAATTAGTTCCTCTAGTTCTCCTTGGGTGTGACGCGTTAATTTTAATCCCACAGAAGAATGAACGTTAAATTCAGGCTTGTAAACATTGTCAGTCGTACATTTATCTGTATTTTTCTTTCCACGTACCTTACGAGTAGATGTATCAGTTTTTGCTTGTGCTTTCTTTTTACCTTTAATAACCCCTGATCTCTTCTTTCCTTTTTGTTTACCAATATTATATTTACTTTTCTTACCTTTCTTTTCTTTTACCTTTATAGGTAATACCTGATCAAGGGGTTCTTCTGACACTTGAGAGCTTACTTCAGATTCTTCAGTTTCATCAGCATCTGACACAACAGTCTCATCAATAACCATAAAGCTCTCATCATCATCATCATCCTCATCATCATCATTACTGGCATCAATCTTATCACTGCTAGTACTCAATGATCCATTTTTAGTGCTCAATATAGATTTCTTAGTTTTTTCTTCACTTTCTGATTCTGAATCAGAATGAATAACAATTTTCTTGAACTTTCTGTTTCTTCTGGCTACTGTTTGTATATCATGCAATTCATCATCTGATTCTGACAAATCCTTTTCCAGTGATTTTACCTTCTTATTGTCTGCAGCAACACCTTCATTTGTTACCTTTTTCTTTTCAGACGTTTCAACCTTACTCTTAATTTCATCACAGCCTCCTGCATCCTTCTGCTCACCTTTTGGTGTATCCTTTCTAATCTTTGGAATTTTGAAGCTTAGTTTTCCACTTGATTTTGGTGGTACTTTAACGCCACACAGCTCCGAGTATTGGTTTGTATTTCCACCAACATCCCCTTCATGTTCTTGTGGTTTACTTGATAAACTTGTTTTATCTGTGTTTGTCACTGAGGCAGCTGTGGCAGAATTGGGTTCTGGTGGTTTAGTTGTATGTTCTTTTGGGCGAGACTTGAAAAATGGATTTCCATTTCCCCTAGGTCGCTCAGGAATGCGTAGCTGAGCTTCTCTGTCACGATTTAACTGCTCATAAGCATTTTTTGCTTGTCGTAGAATTCCTACTGTGCATATTCTAAGTGTTACTGGATAACCCTGTAAAATACGTCCATTCATGAGTTCCAAAGCCTCCTGGGCACTGGCATGACTGGGAAAATGTATATAGGCAGTGCCCTTACATTGGTAGTGGCTATCTAATTCAATAGACATGTCACGTAAGATATATTCCTGAAAGAAATGATAAATGTGATTAGAATTGGTGAAAGGAGGTAAACCTCTCATCATCAAGCATGTAAAAGTTTGTCCAATCAGAGTGCTACTGGTAGACTGAGATGGATGGACATCAACTGCCTGCACACTTAGGTTAGATGGCTGCACAGGATAATTTGCAGGCAACAGAGGTCTCTCTCCTCTAGAAGTCATACGTGGATCTCTACATTGGGTTCCTACAACAGTAGGAAAAATATTAGCTTCTTGTCTTGGATCCCTGCTTCCTCTAACAGAACCACTGGAGAAACTGCTCAGATCATGTCTAGGATCACGTGTCGAAGTTCCTGATCCAACATAACTACTCGAGTCATGCCTTGGATCTCTAACCTGAGGTCCAGTTGCAAGAGGAAATTTTCCTGGGTCTTGTCTAGGATCTCTGCTTGAACAAGGCACACTAAATAACTTTCCTGAATCATCTCTCCCTTCTCTACCCAAAGTGCTTGAAAAATTTGTAGATTCCTGCCTTGGATCCCGATTAGTTTGGTGCCTTGGATCTCTGAAATTTGATAACCCTCCTGCAGAAGAGGGTGCAGATAATCTTGGATCTCGATTGCGGGATACAGCTGGCACAGATTCATTTTCAGAGAGAGAGTCATGGTGTTTTAACCTTGGGTCTCTATGAAGTTGTGCTGAAATATTAGGAGTAATTTGTCGAGGGTCCCTTACTGACACAGCTCCCTCTTCCATTTCTGCATCATTTGTTTTATTTTCTGGTAAGAGTAAATCAAGCACAGATACAGAGTCTTTTCCCTTTGTGCTTGATTCAGACTTTGTAGATATATTTTCTCTGGAGTTTATATTTGGAGTATATGTAGGAGACTTGACTTCTGACAAACTACTTGCTTGTCTCTTTAGCTTGTACTTTTCCATTTGACTGGCAGCTACACCCTGTTGACCAGGTTTAATAAGTTCACTGGCTTGATGTGCAATTCGAGAACGAATGCTATCTAATCTGCTTACAACATAGTTATGTCCATCTTTAACTGACAGTTCATCTGTTCGCTTACTTGAAGGTAGTGTTTGAGAACTAGATGGCTTTGTTGAAGGCTGTGGTTCAGGTGGTGGCGATTTTGGTAATGGTGGTTGAAATGATGTTGGTAGAGGTGGTTGATGTGCTTTTGGCAATGGAGGCTGAAGTGCTGCTGAAGATGTGGGTGGAACAGCTTTTGGTAATGGAAGCTGGTGTGATACTAGCAGTGGTGGCTGAGATGAAGAAGGCAATGGAGGCTGATGTGTGGAAGGTAACGGAGGCTGATGTGGTGAAGGTAATGGAGGCTGATGTGAGGAAGGTAATGGAGGCTGATGTTGGGAAGGTAATGGAGGCTGATGTAGGGAAGGTAATGGAGGCTGATGTGGGGAAGGTAATGGAGGCTGTGGGGAAGGTGAAGGAGGCCGTGGTGAAGGCAATGGAGGTTGATGTGATGAAGGTAATGGAGGTTGCTGTGATTTTGGTAGCGGTGGAAGATGCTGCTGCTGCTGCTGCCTCATATCTACATCATTGGCATTTTCTCTTAAGCTATGAGAATCATTTGCTCTTGTACTGGAAATGCTCTGATACCAACCTACTCCATGGGATACTGTGTGTGTGCTAGTATCTGAATGACTATGAGGAACATGGCTTGATTTATCACAAACTGGACCAGTTGTAGCCTGCCTCTGAGGAAGGGGTATATTTGAGAGTGAAACCATTTTACCATTTCCTGAGTCAAGGGTCCTAGCTCCATCTTTTGTATGTGGCATTTGATGACCAGGGTGGGGACTTTGTCTATCCTGCATTTTATTCTGGTAGCTGTGAGGTAAGGGTATACATGTTGGTACCTGCCAGACATCCATATCCTTCTGACTTTGAATAACAGACGAAGATTCTACACTAACACCAAGGCGCCGAGAGGCTGCTCTTTCTATATCTTGACTGTTCCATACTTCTTCAGGATCATAAGGCTCATCTTCATCAGCTTGCAGTTTTGAAGCAGGACCCACAAAATCCTCATAACGATAGGATGGCCCTTGTTCAGCATTTGAAGCATTAGTACTAGGTCTCTCATTCGCTCGGATCTGTGCAAGAGCTTTCTTTATGGCTTCAAGATCAACTCCTTTCTGTTGAAGATTTTCTAGAGGAATGGTCTTTACTGGAGTACTCTCTTCAGAAGAAATAATTGGACTGAATGAAGCCTCTATATCAGGAGACTGAGGAGTATCCATTGAGCCATAAGTATAACTAAGAGATTGATCTGGGGATATAGGCTTCTCGTGTGGAGTGCTTGTATTTTCCTTTAAAGGAGGACTCATTTGTAAAGGAACATGATGAGGGTTGTTTGGATGAGATCTACTGTCTTTCCAAGGGTGCGCCTGGTCTCTTGAATCACTATTTTGACTATGAGAATGATCTCTTGTTACATTCTGGCTATGTGAAGACCTTGAAGATTTGTCATCGTATTGAGATCTGTGTCTTGGAGGGTGATAGTCTCCTCTGTCATCTGTCATTTCACCTGCAGACTGACTTGAACTTCTTTGGGTAAAAAAGAGGTCTCCCCTGGCTCGAACTTCGTCTCTCCAACCCCGCGATCGTGATGATGTTGAGACTGATGATGCTGATGAAGTACTAGCTTCCCCCTCTTTTGGCATAGATGAATTCTGAACTATCCCAAAAAGTTTTTGAAGCTTTTCTCTAGAACTTTTAAATTTTTCTGGATTGGGAGGTGTCATATTTTCTATATCTCCAAAAGGATGTGGTGTATTATTACTGCTGGATGATGGTGGCATTGGAAGATCAAGAAGACTGTTCCACTTTGAAGATAACTTTGCTGCCTCCAACTGCCTTTTCTCTTGCTCACTGTAACTGTGCTGGCGCTCCATTCTAAGAGTCTCTCTTTCCCTATTGCGATCTAACTGTCTCTCCTGAGAAGTGTTCCCTCTGACACAATCTTGTTTCTTTTCTCTTTCATGCTCCCTTCCTCTAGAGCTGCTTCCTCTATCTCTGCTTCTCTCATATTCTTTCCCACCTGATGGTCTAATCCTTCCATCTCTGTCAGTGCTCCTATCCCTCCCTTTATGTCGATTAAAATCATGCTCTCTCTTTCTTTCAAAATCTTTGGATCTGTTCCGGTCATGATCTTTTTCTCTACTTCTTTCAGATCCCCGTTCTCTGCTTCTATCACCATATTTTGACTCATTTCGATTAAACTCTCTCCCTCGACTTCTTTCATAGCTGCCTTCCCTTGACATCTCCAAGCTTTTCTCTCTTGTTCTTTCATTATGCCCCAGGTCTTTTGATTTTTCTATTTCCCTTCCACCAATATCTCTTGTAGTTTTCCATTCACCTGACGCAGATTTTTGTACTGGTGATGGTTTGCGTTGTTGCACTGGGCTCATACAATGTCCAGAGGAAGGTCTACCAACACCACCTTGTGCAGAACCCAAACTGTGTCCCAACACACTATCTGGTTTAGAACTAGATTCCAGTCGAGAATAGTTTAATTCAGGTCGAGAATGACTGGGTTCAGCACCAGATAGGTTTGGTTCAGGACCAGAATGACTCTGTTCAGGGCCACAAGAAGTGGCATCCAGTTTAGGACTAGATCCAACAACAGGTTTCTGAAATGTAAATTTGATTCAATAAACTTTCTGCAAAAAAAAAAAAAAAATTATATAAATTATCTTTCTCTAAATTCAAGCAAAATTTACACCCTGAATGTGGTATCTACTATTTATAAAGTATCCCAGAGCAAAATACATATTTTTTAATTTTTCTGCCATAATCACTCATGCATAAGCATTATATACTCTCTCCACTATGATCATCTCAGTAACACAAAATTAAACCTCCACTACATAATCATTCTTTTTTACTACATTATCTCTACTGCATCACTGACATTTCAAAGTACCATGAATCAACACTGTACACCTTCAGATTAGATGGAGGCTAACATTTCTAATGAATTATCTCTTCATGAAATTATAATTTGTTCAAATACATTCAACATTTTAATTACAACTGCAAGTACACACACAAATTGGTAAGACTCAATAAAGTCAATCTACAAACAAAGTGTCTAGTACAGTGTCTGTAAGCTACTCAGATTTTTCTGTTTGCTAAAATGTGAGTTTTTACCGCAGACTAAGTGCCAAGTATATCCAGCAGCATGAAGTAGAGTAAATTAAAATCTTTACATGTACTATATATTTGTTTTAATTGGATAGCCATCTAAGAAAATAAAAGAAATATAATTTATTATACCAAGAGCCAACCTTGTATATTCCTGTAAAAAATAGTAATACAGTGGTACCTCAAGTTACGAACTTAATTCATTCCAGAAGGCTGTTCGAGTGCCGATACCGAACAAATCTGTTCCCAAAAGAAATACAGTGGACCCCCGGTTAACGATTTTAATCCGTGCAAGAGGGCTCATCGTTATGCGAAATAATCGTTATGCGAATGAATTTTCCCCATAAGAAATAATGGAAATCAAATTAATCCGTGCAAGACGCCCAAAAGTATGAAAAAAATTTTTTTTTACCACATGAAATGTTAATTTTAATACACACAAACTGAAAAAGGCATGCACAATTAAATGACACTTACTTTTATTGAAGATCTGGTGATGATTGATGGGATGGGAGGAGGGGAGAGCATTATCTTCTTACTGTTTAGAAGGGGAATCCCCTTCCATTACGACTTGAGGTAGCAAGTCCTTTTCCGGGGTTACTTCCCTTCTTCTTTTAATGCCACTAGGACCAGCTTGAGAGTCACTGGACCTCTGTCGCACAACAAATCTGTCCATAGAGCTCTGTACCTCCCGTTCCTTTACGATTTGTCTAAAATGGGCCACAACATTGTCATTGAAATAGTCACCAGCACGGCTTGCAACAGCTGTGTCAGGTGATTTTCATCTATAAAGGTTTGCAGTTCAACCCACTGTGCACACATTTCCTTAATCTTTGAAGTAGGCACAATGGATTCCACAACTGGCATAGGCTTCTCAGGGTTAGCCCCAAACCCTTCAAAATCTTTCTTAATTTCCATACTAATTCTCACCTTTTTACCACAAGGGTTGGCACTAGAAGCTTTCTTGGGGCCCATGGTCACTTATTTTCCAGAAACAGCACCGAAAACACTGTAATAATACGAAATATTCCGAGTGTATGCTTGGATGTTACCGCGGAGGCTGGCTGGTAAACAATGGGACGGCCGGCACATGTGAGGCTGGCTGAGGGCACATTGGACGCGTCTCGGACGAAAATCGGTAAGCGGGTTTTTAATCGGTATGCGCGGCAAAAATTTTGCGATAAAAGTAATCGGTATGCGGAAAAATCGCTATGTGATGCCATCGTTATGCGGGGGTCCACTGTAATGTAAATTAGATTAGTCCATTTCAAACCCCCAAAAATACACTTATATAATTGTTCAAGATGGGAGCTGTTCAAAACTTGAGGTACCACTGTATATAGCAACAATATGATGATAACTCAACAAATGGGTTATTTAATTAAATGAACTGGATAGATTATTATAACCCACACAGTCATCATCATTTGCATATTTCTGAAATATCTAGGGGCTTCTCCCTTTTCTAAGCTCCTTCTGCTCATCATTTTTAAATAATTTTTGCATTTATATTGATTGATTTACTTAGAAGAACATGAGGAGGAGCAATGCAGCAGGCTTACTGGCCCATGCTAGCCAAGTCCATCTCATATCCACTCAAGTACATATCTAACCTGTTTTTAAAGCTACACAAGGTTTTTACTTCAATGATTTTACTCAGGAGTTTGCTCCACTCATCCACAACTCTATTACAAAGTCAGTGCTTTCCTATATCATTTCTAAATCTAAATTTTTCCAACTTGAACCCACTACTACGAGTCCTGTCTTGAGCTAGATATTTTTAGCATATTATTTACATCTTTATTTATTTCTGTTTTCCATTTATAAACCCCAATCATATTTTCCCTAATTTTACACCTTTTTACAGAGTACAGATTCAGTGACCTTGCAAACATTCACATGCAATCCCAGAGGAAAAGTGGATGAAACATCACATGCAATATTTCAAAATTAATCACAGGCATTAGGAACAAATTATCCTTGTGGATAATTACCAATGAAAAGATACAAAAAATCCATTTAGTAGCTCCCAAATGGTCAAATGATCATGTTACTCCCATTCTTATATTTGTATAGGCCATAACCTACCAGGGGATTAGTGTGACCCTTCCTTTGTCTGGCTGATTGACACCCTAACCCTCACAAGGTGAACGGGAAGTTAGAGTTGCCCATAGAAAGAATAAGGATCTACAAATCATTGTGGTAAATGGAGAACTTAATTATTGCCTTAACCACCCAAGATAGGTACAGAGTTCCCAGAGGTGGAAAAAGAGGCAAAATTACAATGGACCCCTGGATATCGTAGTCGTCGGATTTCATAATATTCAGAAATAGTAACATTTTTTCATCAAAATATTGGCTTGGTAATAGTCGTTCGTCCCGAACGCGTCCACACAGCAACAGTGGCCCGACACTCGGTGTGCCATTATTTATCAGTCAGTGAGCATGATCCCACGCATTCATACGATACATTTCAAATTATTCCATTCTTTTTCGTGCTTGCAACTGCTAAATAAGTCACCATGGGCCCAAAGAAAGTTCCTAGTGCCAGCCAGCACTTTGGTAAAGGGCTGAGAGAATGGGGAGAATGTGCCTTCTTCAATGATTCTGCAATATGTACGATACTAAATCAGCAAGAGTAGATAAAAGCTATAGCGCCAGCCAACAATAAATTGTAGCATTAACAGTGTAGCAAGTTAAGTGATTAATTGATAGAAAAAAGACAGCACGAAACTGACTCCTCCAATGCTGTTGGAGGTATATAGAGCTACTAACACCGCCGCCTCTGCTGCCGCCATCACCACCACTATGTAAGGCTTATCTTTCAGTGGCCCTTATACACCCAACAACAAACAGAACACTCATCAGGTAGGTAGAGAGACATATGACACATTTTATTCATTCTAGAGTATATATCATGTGTTTATGTTTTAATATTGTTTATGTCAAATTAGATTAATTATGCTAGATGAATAAGCCATAGAGTCGATATTAGTGTCATATTGAAGGACTATCTTGTCCTGTCTCCCAACACATTCCCCTGCTGCCGCCACAATTCCTAACATACACCAGGAACAGACCTCTCTGGAACACTTTTTTCAGTTACAGGGGTCCAGTGACTCTCAAGCTGGTCCTAGTGGCATTAAAAAACAAAGAAGGGAAGTAACCCCAGAAAAGGACTTGGTACCTGAAGTCTTTATGGAAGGGGATTCCCTTTCCAAACAGTAGTTTCTCCATCCTCTCCCCACCTCCTGTCTTCAATACACTAAGAAGAGTCTTCGATAAAGGTAAGTGTCATGTTGTTATTGTTCTATTCTTCATGTCTCATTGTTTTCTGTGTAGGTAAATGTATATTTCATGTAAAAAAAAAATTTTTTTTTTTAATACTTTTGGGTGTCTGGAATGGATTAATGGATTTACATTATTTCTTATGGAGAAAATGAATTTGGAAATCATCAAACTCAGCTTTAGTCACACTCTCTGGAACGGATTAATTAGGATAACCAAGGGTCCACTGTAGAGTTGAGCAAGTGTGGATTTTCCTAGACTGATGAGAAATCCTGCAGTCTGAAATAGTTAAAGAAGCATATCAAGGGAGGTGGACAGAGTCCACCATCATGACATCACTGAGATAAGTGAAAAGGGATAAGCTCCATGCAAGTCAAATGAGGAGGTCCAACTTTGCAGATTATGGAAGCACAAACCCTGTAATAGTCTCAGGCTTGGCCCTAGAAAGAAGTAACAGCCTGCTGAGTACCTTTGAAACAGAGATAAGGCAAGGTGTCTCCTTCTAGACAATAAGAAATATGGAAAAGAATTTAGGAAGAGTAATGTATTTTGCAGACAAAACCTTTCTGGAGACTTTGCACAACTAATAAAACAAGAGGCATCAGACTAACTCCAAGCTGGTTTGTGGCTGAGTGGTTAGCAATGAGAGTCACCACTATGAGTAAAAATGTCAGACAAATGAAAAGCAGATGGCAGAGACAGAAGGACATTGAGGGTAGATTTAATCTTTTCCCGAGTAGACATGTCTTTAATCTGGTAAGAAGGCACTTGAGTGGTGGCTGGCCATCAAAATATCAACAACACTTTCAACACCTTGGGATTGTAAGACACACAACGTTCATCAAGTTCGACTAAGTGCACTGAACACGAATTATGTAACGATGGCCTATGTGCCAAGCAAAATGCTTGTCCATTACTGTTCTACAGGAGAGAAAAGTTGAATAAATATAACCAAGCTGCTGAATGGTGTCTGGGGTTGTGAGCCAGCAAGGGAGCCCAAGTTGATACATTAAACAATGTAAACAGGACTAATTTGGAAAAAAAAAAAAAAGTGATCTGTGAGTCTATTACTGGTGTTATAGAGATTGTTAATGGTTAATGGAAGCCTAACACTAAAATAACTTTCAACCTCAATTTGAATGAATTCTGTAAAGTTGAGCAAGGATAAATAAATATGAGAGATAATCTAATGCATTACCTATCACTCACAATTACCAATGAAATGTCATTATGTAACAAACTACTTACTCCTTGAGCCTTCTGAACCTTCTCATGCATGCTGCGAATTACAGCTTCCATCTTCTCTAACATCTCCATTCTGGGCCTACAAAGCAAGAAAAAAATTAATGCATATATGTAGCATCATGTGTTTAATATAGTAGACTTCCATAAGAGGTGCACTTGCATAGTGAGTTTAAATCTCTGGGCACCCATATCTGTAACTGGTTTCAAAAGTTTTCCTACTCAAGGCTACAATGGCAGTGCATGGCACATGTGAAAGCACAAAAATTATGCTTATATACATTGTACACAGTTTGGCCACCCCATGCATAAATTTATGTTGCACACAATTAAAGGGTTAAGCAAGATATTCTAGCACTGAAAGTTTGAAAGCAATCAGGAGAAGCATTTTTAAGTTAAAGCAAGGAAACTGAGGAAGAAACTAATCCTTCAGGCAACCATGATACATGTACCCTTTCAGGGGTTACCAGAGTAGTACTGTCTTTTTTAATTACTGTTACTAATTACACAGAGAACAGATAAATAACACACTTACGTTCTGGGTATTGGGCGTGTTAAAAAACCATAAAGTCCATGCAAGCGCTCTAGTTGACCGTGGCTTGTTCCAACCTGCTTTGAACGAACCTCTAGCTTAGCAATCATGCGCTTCACAAAGGGAACATATGTGCGCAGATGGTTAAGTTTATCTTGAACCTCTGAAAAAATAAGACCAATGTAAGTATAAATAAAACCTTATGTACTGTACTATACATCATAGTCACAAAATTCAGTTTTAGACGAATAAGATAACCATTACAAAAAAAATCTTGCCAAGCTTAATACAGTACTAAGAGTAGGATCTAAATGGAGTACTGCTAACAACAGTGAAGGCAAGAACAAGCTTTCATTGGGGCAATGATTTACTGTGACAAGTTTTATGAAGTCATCGATTAAGCTCTGCACAAAGTGAAACATTATCTTGCAATATGGCTTCTCTTGACAATACAATAAGGTATTGATTTAATAAACAAAATCTGTGTCCAGAAAGAACATAGACAGTATTGTTACGATCATGGAAAAAGCAATCTAAAGCCGATTCTACAGCCACCCCCCCCCCTCCCCTCCTATTAGACCATTAAATCAAGATTTCAACATGCTACTCAAGAGTAAACCTATTTCCTTGGTAGAACACAATAAAATGTCATTCTGTGCGAAATAAAATTATCAATTCACTAAGGAATCGGAAAACTAATCAATGCTCTCATCCAACTTGATATCCTTGGGGTGAAATTTAACTCCAAACCATGAAGAACCATGTTGTAAATCTTGCAAACAAGGCAACCAGGAAGCTTACAGCACTTCGCCGTATCTCACATCTGCTCGACAGTAGGGGTTGCAGGATTCTGTACGAGGCACAAGTACGCTCACACCTTGAGTATGCTCCACTTTCTTGGTTTGCCTGCCCCCCCTCTCATCTGCAACTGCTTGACAGAGTAGAGAACAGAGCAAGACGTCTCATCTCTTGCCTGGACCCATCCTGGATAGATCTGCCATTTCAGCAGAGCCTTCAACATAGGAGGGATGTGGGTGGCCTTACTGTTATGTACAAGGCCAATATTGTCAAAATACCACAATTGGATCCACTGTGTGTATGGGTGTGTGTATGGGTGTGTGTATGGGTGTGTGTATGGGTGTGTACTCACCTAGTTGTACTCACCTAGTTGAGGTTGCGGGGGTCGAGTCCGAGCTCCTGGCCCCGCCTCTTCACTGATCGCTACTAGGTCACTCTCCCTGAGCCGTGAGCTTTATCATACCTCTGCTTAAAGCTATGTATGGATCCTGCCTCCACTACATCGCTTCCCAAACTACTCCACTTACTGACTACTCTGTGGCTGAAGAAATACTTCCTAACATCCCTGTGATTCATCTGTGTCTTCAGCTTCCAACTGTGTCCCCTTGTTACTGTGTCCAATCTCTGGAACATCCTGTCTTTGTCCACCTTGTCAATTCCTCTCAGTATTTTGTAAGTCGTTATCATGTCCCCCCTATCTCTCCTGTCCTCCAGTATCGTCAGGTTGATTTCCCTTAACTTCTCCTCGTAGGACATACCTCTTAGCTCTGGGACTAGTCTTGTTGCAAACCTTTGCACTTTCTCTAGTTTCTTTACATGCTTGGCTAGGTGTGGGTTCCAAACTGGTGCCGCATACTCCAATATGGGCCTAACGTACACGGTATATAGGGTCCTGAACGATTCCTTATTAAGATGTCGGAATGCTGTTCTGAGGTTTGCCAGGCGCCCATATGCTGCAGCAGTTATTTGGTTGATGTGCGGTTCAGGAGATGTGCCTGGTGTTATACTCACCCCAAGATCTTTTTCCTTGAGTGATGTTTGTAGTCTCTGACCCCCTAGACTGTACTCCATCTGCGGTCTTCTTTGCCCTTCCCCAATCCTCATGACTTTGCACTTGGTGGGATTGAACTCCAGGAGCCAGTTGCTGGACCAGGTCTGCAGCCTGTCCAGATCCCTTTGTATTTCTGCCTGGTCTTCGATCGAATGAACTCTTCTCATCAACTTCACGTCATCTGCAAACAGTGACACCTCGGAGTTTATTCCTTCCGTCATGTCGTTCACAAATACCAGAAACAGCACTGGTCCTAGGACTGACCCCTGTGGGACCCCACTGGTCACAGGTGCCCACTCTGACACCTCGCCTCGTACCATTACTCGCTGCTGTCTTCCTGACAAGTATTCCCTGATCCATTGCAGTGCCTTCCCTGTTATTCCTGCTTGGTCCTCCAGTTTTTGCACTAATCTCTTGTGTGGTACTGTGTTAAACGCCTTCTTGCAGTCCAAGAAAATGCAATCCACCCACCCCTCTCTCTCTTCTCTTACTGCTGTCACCATGTCATAGAACTCCAGTAGGTTTGTGACACAGGATTTCCCGTCTCTGAAACCATGTTGTCTGCTGGTGATGAGATCATTCCTTTCTAGATGTTCCACCATTCTTCTCCTGACAATCTTTTCCATGATTTTGCATGCTATACATGTCAGTGACACTGGTCTGTAGTTTAGTGCTTCATGTCTGTCTCTTTTTTTAAAGATTGGTACCACATTTGCTGTCTTCCATGCCTCAGGCAATCTCCCTGTTTCGATTAGATGTATTGAATATTGTTGTTAGGGTTACACATAGCGCCTCTGCTCCCTCTCTCAGGACCCATGGAGAGATGTTATCTGGCCCCATTGCCTTTGAGGTATCTAGCTCACTCAGAAGCCTCTTCACTTCTTCCTCGGTTGTGTGTACTGTGTCCAGCACATGGTGGTGTACCCCACCTCTCCGTCTTTCTGGAGCCCCTTGTGTCTCCTCTGTGAACACTTCTTTGAATCTCTTGTTGAGTTCCTCACATACTTCACTGTCATTTCTTGTTGTCTCTCCTCCTTCCTTCCTTAGCCTGATTACCTGGTCTTTGACGGTTGTTTTCTTCCTGATGTGGCTGTATACCAGCTTCGGGTCAGATTTGGCTTTGGCTTTTGTGTGTGTGTGTGTGTGTGTGTGTGTGTGTGTGTGTGTGTGTGTGTGTGTGTGTGTGTGTGTGTGTGTGTGTGTGTACGTACTCACCTAATTGTAGTTGCAGGGGTCGAGACTCGGCTCCTCGCCCCGCCTCTTCACTGAACGCCACAAAGTCCTCTCTCTCCCTGCTCCATGAGCTTTATCATACCTCGTCTTAAAGCTATGTATGGTTCCTGCCTCCACTACATCGCTCGCCAGACTGTTCGACTTCCTGACCAATCTATGACTGAAGAAATGCTTCCTAACATCCCTGTAGCTCATCTGAATCATCAACTTCCAAGAGTGACCCCTTGTTTCTGTTTCCCCTCTCTGGAACATCTTGTCTCTGTCCACCTTGTCTATTCCACGAAGTATTTTGTATGTCGTTATCATGTCTCCCCCTATCCCTCCTGTCCTCCAGTGTCGCCAGGCCGATTTCCCTCAACCTTTCTTCATAGGACATTCCCCTTAGCTCGGGAACTAACCTTGTCGCAAACCTTTGCACTTTCTCTAATTTCTTAACGTGCGCGCGTGTGTGTGTGTGTGTGTGTGTGTGTGTGTGCACGCGCGTGTGTGTGTGTGTGTGTGTGCACGCGCGTGTGTGTGTTGTGTGTGTGTGCACGCGCGTGTGTTGTGTGTGTAGTGTGCACGCGCGTGTGTGTGTGTTGCACGCGCGTGTGTGTGTGTGCACGCGTGTGTGTGTGTGTGTGCACGCGGTGTGTGTGTGTGTGTGCACGCGCGTGTGTGTGTGTGTGTGTGCACGCGCGTGTGTTGTGTGTGTGTGCACGCGGTGTGTGTGTGTGTTGTGTGTGCACGCTGTGTGTGTGTGTGTGTGTGTGTGTGTGTGTGTGTGTGCACGCGCGTGTGTGTGTGTGTGTTGTGTGTGTGTGTGTGTGTGCACGCGTTGTGTGTGTGTGTGTGTGTGTGTGCACGCGCGTGTGTGTGTGTGTTGCACGCGTGTGTGTGTGTGTGTGTGTGTGTGTGTGTGTGTGGTGTGTGTTGTGTGCACGCGCGTGTGTGTGTGTGTGTGTGTGTGTCACGCGCGTGTGTGTGTGTGTGCACGCGGTGTGGTGTGTGTGTGTGTGTGTGTGTGCACGCGCGGTGTGTGTGTGTGTGTGTGTGCACGCGCGTGTGTGTGTGTGTGTGCACGCGGTGTGTGTGTGTGTGTGTTGCACGCGCGTGTGTGTGTGTGTGTGTGCACGCGCGTGTGTGTGTGTGTTTGTGTGTGCACGCGCGTTGTGTGTGTGTGTGTGCACGCGCGTGTGTGTGTGTGCACGCGCGTGTGTGTGTGTGCACGCGCGTGTGTGTGCACGCGCGTGTGTGTGCACGCGCGTGTGTGTGTGTGTGCACGCGCGTGTGTGTGTGTGTGCACGCGCGTGTGTGTGTGTGTGCACGCGCGTGTGTGTGTGTGCACGCGCGTGTGTGTGTGTGTGCACGCGCGTGTGTGTGTGTGCATGCGCGTGTGTGTGTGCACGCGCGTGTGTGTGTGTGCACGCGCGTGTGTGTGAGTGAGAACTTACATAATTGTGGTTGCAGGGGTCGAGATTTGGCTCCTGGTCCCACTTCTTCACTGATCGCCACTAGGTCCTCTCTCTCTCTCCCCCTGCTCCATAAGCTTTATCATACCTTGTCTTAAACCTATGTATGGTTCCTGCCTCCACTACATCACTTCCTAAGACTATTCCACTTCCTGACTACCCTATGACCGAAGAAATACTTCCTAACATCCCTTTGACTCGTCTGTGTCTTCAACACTCAATTGTGACCACTTGTTTCTGTGTCACGTCTCTGGAACATACTGTCTCTGTTCACCTGTCTATTCCACGCAGTATTTTGTATGTCGTTATCATGTCTCTCTTAACCCTCCTGTCCTTTGGAGTCGTCAGGCCGATTTTCCTCAACCTTTCTTCGTAGGACATTCCCCTTAACTCTAAAACTATCCTTGTTGCAAACCTTTGCACTTTGCCAAATTTCTTGACCTGTCTGACGTGTATGTGTGTTTGTGCGTGAGTGGTATGGTGTATGAGTGGAATGTGTGTGGGTGGTATGCGAGTGTGTGGTATGTGTGGTATGCATGTGTGGTATGTGTGTGTGGTATGAGCGTGTGTGTGTGTGTGTGTGTGTGTGTGTGTGTGTGTGTGTGTGTGTGTGTGTGTGTGTGTGTGTGTGTGTGTGTGGGGGTATGAGTGTGTGTGGTATGAGTGTGTGGTATGAGTGTGTGGTATGAGTGTGTGTGGTATGAGTGTGTGTGTGGTATGAGTGTGTGTGTGTGTGGTATGAGTTTGTGTGTGTGTGTGTGGTTTGAGTGTGTGTGTGTGTGTGTGGTATGAGTGTGTGTGTGTGTGGTATGAGTGTGTGTGTGTGGTATGAGTGTGTGTGGTATGAGTGTGTGGTATGAGTGTGTGTGTGTGTGTGTGTGTGGTATGA